AAAAAAAAAAAAAAAAGTAAGAAAGAAATTCAACCCAGTTATTTTCCAAGTGTCTTCCCAAAAGAGTTACAGATATCATCTGTGCATACCCACAATTCATAAATAGTTAAGTCTTGGAAGTGGCCTCTGTCCATCAATAGACAATTGGATAAAGAAAATGAATTTATACGCAACAGAATATTACACTGCCATAAAGAAGAGCAATTTAAAGAGCATAATAAAAGATAGATAATAAATGGGAAAGGGACCAAACGACGGAGGAAGGGGTAAGGAGGAGGTGAAGGTGGAGTAAAAAGAATTAACGTGATATATGCATATACCAGCTCTCTATGATGAACATAACTACAATGTAGCACAAACATGCACCAATTAAAAATAAATTTAGGAAAGAAAAAAAGAAAGGAAGCCTGGGGGTGTAGCTAAGTGGTAGAACACTTGCCTAGCAAGCATGAGGGTCCTGGGTTCACTGCCCAGTACCACGAAAACATGGAAAAAATTTAAAACACCTTGTTAATAAGTTAAACTCCTCCATTAAAAAACAAAGGCACACTGAAGCTGGGCGTGGTGGTGCATGCCTGTAATCCCAGCACTCAGGAGGCTGAGGCAGGAGGATCACTGTGAGTTCGAGACCAGCCTGGGATACATAGTGAGTTTCAGGTCAGTCTCAACTACATAGTGAGACCCTGTCTCAAAAAACCAAAAAACCAAAAAACCAAAAACAAAACAAAGGCACACTGTTTGGGGTTTTTTGCTTTTGTTTTGGTACCAGGGATCGAACTTGGGTCTTTGCACTAGCAAGGCAGGTGGTGGAACCACTGAGTTAAATCCCTGGCCCCGTTTGGGTTTTTTATTTATTTTTTTGGTACTGGGGATCAAACTCAGGTCCTCGTGCTTGCGAGGTAGGCAGCAGAACCGCTGAGCTAAATCCCCAGCCCTGTTTGGGTTTTTTAATAACACCAATCATATGCGTCTTACAAGACATACCCAAAATAAATGATGCAAAATGGGTTAAAAAGAATATAAAATGCCAGACTTTATGGGAGTTATAAATATAAATATAACTATGGCATTGCGTGTGTAAATAACTTCCAGAAGAATGTCACAATAACATGGCTGAGTATGGACGGCTTAGCAGAAGGTGCAGCTGGACCCTCAACCATTCGCGCGTGCACACACACACACTGCTCCTGTCCTCAGGGGGCCCGGAAATCCAGTGCATGTTGTTAGTGTTTACCAAGGGGTGGGGAGGGAGCTACAGATCACTTTTATCTTTTGCAACTCAACCAGAACTTGGATGCTTGACCTTTGGCCAGAGAACGCCACATGCCACAGATGCCAGCAGACTGTTCTGCAGCAGACTGAGCAGACTCCAGGCCAAGAACTGCCATCAGAGCCATTAAGAGCA